AAATAATAAAAATTACAATTTGGACCCGAATTTGTAAAAATAAAATCCCAGCAAAAATAAATTTACTAGGTACAAATTTAATTCTAATAATTAAGAAACTTGAAATAATTTTTAAAAAAACATTACAAAATTGAGATTATTACAAATTACCTAATAAATTCTGCTATTTCTACGGCAAATTCAATCATTTACAATCAAAAATTGTAATTTTTGTGTTATCATAAAAATTTAGTTTTCTCCGTGTTGTAAGTGCATTAAAAAATTGTCTAGATAGTGAAACAAATTATTGTTACAAAACTAAATACATCTGAAAATCAGTTTACATATTATAAAAAGCCATAACTTAAAGATATTTTCAACGAGATTTTTCTTTATACCTAATAACATGAATTCACAATTTTTGTTATTGTTATCTTTAGATTTATTAGTCCTGGAGCTCATAAGCTGATTCACTCTGTATGTGGTATAGCAACATTCGTTGTTGGTACAGTCTCTTTGTACTATGGGCTTGATAAGGGATGGTACAGATTCAGAGTTGGGGAAGATACAGTGAAATACACAAAAGCGGTTATTTTATTCACTTTGATTTGGCCCATGATACAACCACTTCTAACCTGTTTCGAAAGAATTAGGTACATGTTCTAAAATCCACTGTATCTATAATATATAATTTATTATATGTACCTATATCACTTATTGTTAAGTGTATACCTACTCAGTATGTTAGTTTTATGCTTATCTACAAACAACAGGTAAATATGTAGCTCTTTTTCTTCAAAGGAAGTAACGCGGATGAAATTAAATGTACTATAGCTAGTTCTGAATCTCATGAGCCTGCATATGCGTGAGTAATGCATTTTGATGGTATACTACAAAAACATGGACTCGGCTGTTAGTCATATGTTTCGCTATAGGTTCAATCAGGGGTGGAACTCCAGGTAAAATGTAACGGTCAATCTTTTTAAGAGGTAGAATATTGGAGAAATCAATCAATTAACGGGTGTGGTTTTGGTAGCCGAAGGTCAAGGTTCATGAGATTCTGCACTACCTCTAACAGTGACACAATTTATTTACATCACGCTCAACGGACGTTCAATAAAAAACATGAATTGGATATGAAAAATCAATAAAAAATAATTCATAATTTAAAAAGTACANTCGGAAGTGAAGTGACGTATAAATTTAGAAGTTAGTATTCTATCATTACAAAGCTGAGATTTCACCCTTCAGTACTTTAGGAAGTGAAGCAACGTATAGATTTAGAAATTGCGATTCCATCTTTGCAAAGCTGGGACTTCGCCCCTCAGTATTTTCGGAAGTGAAGTGACGTATAAATTTAGAAGTTAGTATTCTATCATTACAAAGCTGAGATTTCACCCTTCAGTACTTTAGGAAGTGAAGCAACGTATAGATTTAGAAATTGCGATTCCATCTTTGCAAAGCTGGGACTTCGCCCCTCAGTATTTTCGGAAGTGAAGTGACGTATAAATTTAGAAGTTAGTATTCTATCATTACAAAGCTGAGATTTCACCCTTCAGTACTTTAGGAAGTGAAGCAACGTATAGATTTAGAAATTGCGATTCCATCTTTGCAAAGCTGGGACTTCGCCCCTCAGTATTTTCGGAAGTGAAGTGACGTATAAATTTAGAAGTTAGTATTCTATCATTACAAAGCTGAGATTTCACCCTTCAGTACTTTAGGAAGTGAAGCAACGTATAGATTTAGAAATTGCGATTCCATCTTTGCAAAGCTGGGACTTCGCCCCTCAGTATTTTCGGAAGTGAAGTGACGTATAAATTTAGAAGTTAGTATTCTATCATTACAAAGCTGAGATTTCACCCTTCAGTACTTTAGGAAGTGAAGCAACGTATAGATTTAGAAATTGCGATTCCATCTTTGCAAAGCTGGGACTTCGCCCCTCAGTATTTTCGGAAGTGAAGTGACGTATAAATTTAGAAGTTAGTATTCTATCATTACAAAGCTGAGATTTCACCCTTCAGTACTTTAGGAAGTGAAGCAACGTATAGATTTAGAAATTGCGATTCCATCTTTGCAAAGCTGGGACTTCGCCCCTCAGTATTTTCGGAAGTGAAGTGACGTATAAATTTAGAAGTTAGTATTCTATCATTACAAAGCTGAGATTTCACCCTTCAGTACTTTAGGAAGTGAAGCAACGTATAGATTTAGAAATTGCGATTCCATCTTTGCAAAGCTGGGACTTCGCCCCTCAGTATTTTCGGAAGTGAAGTGACGTATAAATTTAGAAGTTAGTATTCTATCATTACAAAGCTGAGATTTCACCCTTCAGTACTTTAGGAAGTGAAGCAACGTATAGATTTAGAAATTGCGATTCCATCTTTGCAAAGCTGGGACTTCGCCCCTCAGTATTTTCGGAAGTGAAGTGACGTATAAATTTAGAAGTTAGTATTCTATCATTACAAAGCTGAGATTTCACCCTTCAGTACTTTAGGAAGTGAAGCAACGTATAGATTTAGAAATTGCGATTCCATCTTTGCAAAGCTGGGACTTCGCCCCTCAGTATTTTCGGAAGTGAAGTGACGTATAAATTTAGAAGTTAGTATTCTATCATTACAAAGCTGAGATTTCACCCTTCAGTACTTTAGGAAGTGAAGCAACGTATAGATTTAGAAATTGCGATTCCATCTTTGCAAAGCTGGGACTTCGCCCCTCAGTATTTTCGGAAGTGAAGTGACGTATAAATTTAGAAGTTAGTATTCTATCATTACAAAGCTGAGATTTCACCCTTCAGTACTTTAGGAAGTGAAGCAACGTATAGATTTAGAAATTGCGATTCCATCTTTGCAAAGCTGGGACTTCGCCCCTCAGTATTTTCGGAAGTGAAGTGACGTATAAATTTAGAAGTTAGTATTCTATCATTACAAAGCTGAGATTTCACCCTTCAGTACTTTAGGAAGTGAAGCAACGTATAGATTTAGAAATTGCGATTCCATCTTTGCAAAGCTGGGACTTCGCCCCTCAGTATTTTCGGAAGTGAAGTGACGTATAAATTTAGAAGTTAGTATTCTATCATTACAAAGCTGAGATTTCACCCTTCAGTACTTTAGGAAGTGAAGCAACGTATAGATTTAGAAATTACGATTCCATCTTTGCAAAGCTGGGACTTCGCCCCTCAGTATTTTAGGAAGTGAAGTGACGTATAAATTTAGAAGTTAGTATTCTATCATTACAAATTGAGATTTCACCCTTCAGTACTTTAGGAAGTGAAGCAACGTATAGATTTAGAAATTACGATTCCATCTGTGCAAAGCTGGGACTTCGCCCTTTCGTATTTTAGAAAGTGAAGTGACGTATAAATTTGGAAGTTAGGATCCTATCGTTACAAAGCTGAGATTTCACCCTTCAGTACTTTAGGAAGTGAAGCAACGTATATATTTAGAAATTACGATTTCATCTTTGCAAAGCTGGGACTTGGTCCCTCAGTATTTTAGGAAGTGAAGTGACGTATAGATTTAGAAATTACAATCCCATCTTTGCAATGCTGAGATTTCACTCTTCAGTATTTTAGAAAGCCTTCGCAAAGTTGAGCTTTCGTGGATGGAATGAATTTTTGAAATTTGCACTTTGGGCTTTGAACTAGATACATACTAGTTCTAATACAGTCTTCTAGGTGTTCATTTTTGTGAGATCAGCTATTAATAACACGATTCGGATACAGCCTTTGGATGTTCAACGATTATTCGAATATTGTATCCGGATGTTGAAGTATCCGAATACTACCCATCTCAGGAATTTGTCCAGTCTACGAACGGATAACATATCAGTACTTATATTAACACTATTGATTTTATAAAGAATATTGGAAATAGTGATAAGTTCAAACATAGTACTATTATCAATTTATAGTATCGATTAAAAGATTATGAGATGACCAATAATAGTGAGAATTTCTTTTTTATGAGTAATACAATAAGTACTAATTTCCTTTGTAAGTACATTAGTAACATTTCCATTGTACTTTCCGATAAAAATTATTAGTGTAGCTCGTGTAGCATTGAAACTAACGTTTTATGAGACATATAAATTGCACCGCGGTTATCAAACTGTGCTCACTTCAAAAACGTCGCTCTAATTGGCGCGGTACCAACATACAAAAAAAAAACAATCAAGGGGTATTTGCATTAACATCAAGTAAAAAATATGAAAAGTAACGTTGCAGAAACTAAAAATAATCAACCCACTATTAAGCAGAAACTATCATATTACTGTGAACATATAACAACAGTAACTCATGCTTTAATCCTTTGGTTCGTTCTCTACGTGTGGTATTTGGCTGTCAAAGATGGGGGTTGGAATGCTTATACGATACATGCTGTTTTTTATGTAACAGGGGTAAGTATTATTTGATAATCAATTACTATCTATTGTAAATATTATTTATAAAATAAAAAGCAATTAGTTCACTATTAAGAATGGTCTAGGTATGTTTAAGTTCTAGGATATTGTTAAAATAAAGTAGTATAAGTACAATTCATGTAATTTAAATTTTTTGAGGGTTGTTACCAGGGGCGCAACAACATTACAGTGTGACTGGGTGCTCCCATCACCGAATAGCAATTATTATAATATATTAGATTACCTTTGTTTGTTCATTTATATACTGAGCGCAGTTGGGTTATTATCTGAATCGAATGGAATTGACTGGGTGACCAACCCAACCGAGTGGGTGCTCAGGCACCCGTGGACCCCCCCTTGTGGCGCCCCTGGTTGTTACATTTTGTTCAGAACATTTTGAGGGTTCGGTTAATACCTAATACTTAATGTTATTTACGACTGCCTAGAAACGTAAAAAGTACTGGGCAGACTAATTCGGAAAACGATAGGGTCTTAAAAAAATTTGGCCTTACGCTGGGGTGAGACCAAATTGGCTTGTCTTTGACGTTAGCTTATTAGTTACGCTGAATTATAATATTTTATAATTATTTTTGTGAATGACCCAAGGTAAAAAAAATTTAATACTTCA